AGGAATGTTAATTTAATAATTTAGTATTTAGCTGTCTGTATCTTTGAATAAAAAAATGCACCAACAAATACCTCTTGCAAATACTAAGCATTTCAGATAGAAAATAAATAGAAATTTGAGTTTTTTCTTTATGATATTATTATTACTGTTTATATGACGTTTTCATAAATATTTAGTAGAGGAAATTACATTTTGTTTAAAATATATCTATTTCATTAATATTGTTGGGGAGTACGGGTTCGTTTGGAATTGAATGCACACCGATGAAAAATGATAAGATTTATTTATCACAAATAAATAAAACACAATACTTCAATTTCTCTCAGATATTCGTACAATATACAATATCTCACAGTTTATTTATCTTGCAAACGTCAGATTTAAACAGCTAAACTAATCCGTCGCGATTCGCTGCAGTCAACAAGAGCAGTTTTCTAACTCTTAAAACGACAACAACTAACAATAATGAACTGAGGCTTTTCTCCTTTATAAGATTTTAAAGCGCGCGCGCGAGAATTTTCTGGAACTTTCTCGAAATCAAAAAGAGATATTTATTTATTAAATGTTAAATGCACGTGCTCTTGTAGTTTTAATTTTCCGGCTTAGTTTTCCTTTAATATTCATCACGCGCTGCACTGCACGGAGATTAAAACAATTTAATTTATAATTCAACTAACATTAGCTATTTGAATACCAAATCCGTACCACTATTTTTTTTTTTTATTTCCTTAGAAAAAAAATTAGCCGCTCAGTTGTTCTCAGATCATGCATGCACCTAGCATGCAATCGGAGTTTGACACCACTGGCCTATATCACTATATTTGCTTAAAAAAAAAAAAAGAGTTGTTGATTCATAGGACCAGGATTTAAGAAATTAAAACTTTTTCAACACGCATAATCCACTCGCCGGAGAACTTCTCGATTCACATTTCTCAAACATAGCGTATGGAACCTTTGGAAGGTTGAAGGTATTTGCTTTGCATAAATGCGACTGTCTGAACTCTTCCGAATTGTAGAAATCATTTGATGTCAACAGATTTGAACTTTTCCGAACGGATAAGAGAGGTTGGCATATCACTTGGATATTCTGAAGGTTTGAAGGAAGCTAGTTGTTCCACTCAACCTTGTTGCCCAGCAAAGGAGAACAACAGGTGAAAGAATGCAGCGATTTTGTTACTTGTAGCTCGTGGAAGATCACAATACAGAGATATACTCTCATTAAATGACCAAGCCTTCATCAGAACGCCACGACAGAGTGCTTGTGAAATCTGCACATCGAAAAACTGATGAATTTGCCTGCTGCCGACGCTATTGCATATGACACTGTCTGCAAATGCAGATACACTACAAGTGGAGATACGCTACTCCAAACAGCTACAAGTGGCCTTTGTAAATTCTCCACATTCAAACAGGAAGTCTTTCCCTCACCCGCGACACCACTACCACAGGGTAATGACGATGCCATTTGCAGAGAAGTCTGCCTTGATCATCATGGGTTAGCGTTCAGAGAGCCTTTTGGCCTTCGCAGATAAGACATGGTTCACTCTAGAGGCCAGTGACCTGGAGTCTGGAGACTTGTGCCATCACAGGAAATCTGTTTTTATTTTGAAGTGATGCGCATTTTTCACACCGGTTGTTAGCATCTCTGAAATATGTTTAGCTACACCCTGATATCCTCTCTTCAAATCGAAATCACCTTCAGGGTATAGCATATCCCTTCATCGGCATATTTTGCCAGCTGAATTGCCGTTCTTGCAACAGCACTTCCAAGCCATATCTGAACAAGTTAATTTCCAAAAGAGGCTCTCCCAACACCAGCTTTTCAACACACATGCCCTTCCAGATAAACTGAATGATCGACCTGTTCCTGATAAAGCATGTGACTGGAAAGAATGCTGCCTATGCTCATCCTCGAATCTTTACTAATTGTCTAGCAAAAAATAGGCAGCTAGACAATAACTGCTACTATGTATAGGATACTATTTGAAAATTGTTTTCTCTCAGCTTATATAACTGCTTGCTTCCGAGCCTAGAGGTGAAAACACAGAATTTTGTTTTCTTTCATTTTTTGTAGCTGTTTTAATCGACTAATAGCCACGCTGGTCTGGGGTTTTTTAAAACTGACCGATAAAAAAAAAGTACGAGTTGTAAAAGTATTTCAAGCCAAACCGAACTGCAACCATCAAATTTTCCAGAACCTTAGTTTCCTCAATTTATCTCTTTGTTAAACTTTCTTTCCTGTTTTGTACTAATATCTCTCTCAAATGTACGATTGTATCGCTTTATCTTAGTATGAAAGTTCGTACTAAATGCACTGGTGTTGAAATTGAAGTTCATTGTGCCTGGAATAGCTGAATAAGGATGACTTGGTACAGCCATTCTTATTCAATTCTGGCCTTAATGGATGATTAATCACAGCTTTAATGATCGTAAAAATCAAATCTGATATCCGACTTTTCAGAGTTATTAGGTCCTTTCTTTTCTCGAAGCCAGAAGTACGAAAGAAACAAAATCTATGCACTCATTGGGATTTTTTACATCCCAATGAATATGTCCCAGCCAAACGTGCCAGCCACCGGAGCATGCACGGAAAAAGGCAATAATCCCTCATAACAATAATTACTTCAAAATATATTTATAATTGGCTCACACGTTTCTTTTCATTTTCTTCCTTCTTTAAAGCTCTGAGAAGGTTGACGACATGTCACCTCTATCAGTCTAAGTTACGTAAGTAAATAGATGACAGTAAAATTATCCACTGATGATGATACCCAATTTGAAGTAAAATATCAAGTCCAAATAGTGCGGAAAGTTAGCTACCGATATAATATTATTTAAATTTATTGCTGTTGATATGCTGATTGAGGCTTTAATTTTAAAATCTTAAGTTCTTGTTTAAATGAACATGGAAAAGCACATGGCATCTATCTGCCTAAGGGGAAAGGGAAAACCACAAAAACACTATTCCAATTTATCCTTTGAATTTCGTCGAATTATCAGGTTCAGTAGCCTTATCATTTAGGCCACAGATGAGTAAGTGTTAACATAGAATTCGGTAAGCAGCAGAATAAAATCATCTTACTGCTGATTTGACAAAAATTAAATTACAAAATTAAATTGAAACTGGTTTAAGGCTAATTCAGAAGTCAAACAACAAAAATCAGCGTTATATTTACCAAATTTTCACAGGACTAGTTTCGATGGTTTTACCGAACCACCATCTTCAGCTGCAAAACCGCAAATGAACCAGATAGGAAATAATGATTAGATAAGATGAAGTTTTGCAGCTGAAGATGGTGGTTCGGTAAAACCATCGAAACTAGTCCTGTGAAAATTTGGTAAATATAACGCTGATTTTTGTTGTTTGACTTCTGAATTAGTATTTATTCGGCGTGTTATTGTGTCTTAATTGGTTTAAGGCTCTTAATTTTAAATACTTTTATAAAATTTTCTTAAAATATGGAATAGGTAAATCTCGTGGATTACGGACTAAAAAATAGTTATCGTATTAGGTTTTGAAAAATCCAACATGTGTTGCTATTAAGACAAATATCAGTTACCAGGAAACTGTAGTTTTAAATTCACGAATACTGGTACGAAACTTAAAATCACTCAAAGCAAGTAATTTCATTCGATTTCCTAGAAACATCACTAAAAAGATTAATGCATGGAATTGTAGGGCATATCACGCATAAAAATAAATGTAATTCTTCGCATAGAAAATTATTCAAAGACCCGTCTAATGAAAAGTTTGCCTTAATATAGATAAAGCGCAAAATCAGTGATGTAAAATTCTTGCAACCTCACCAGATTAACTACAACGCAAGTAAGGAAAGACTTGTAATCTTTGCATAATAAAAAGTTTAATTACAAAGATGAAATATTTTATTTATTTTTTCAGGTGATATGATGTAGTGTTAATTACATGTACAAATTTTAACGTCATCCTTTACATAATTTTATTCTACAACATGTTATTAAAGCTTCTGAATTAAAAACAATACTCATTCAGTAATTTTATGGCTAAAATTAGCTTTTCTTTCTTAAAATTGCAAATTTAATTCCTGAATGCTGCTGTTTATGTTATACAGGGTGTTTATAAAGTCCCGGACCCATTTTGATGTTTAATAACTCATAAAATAATAAAGATAGATTAAAATTAATAACATAAATGGTTAGATAGACTCAAAAATTTTCATGACCCTTGTCAATGAACTTCCACGTGTGCCCCCTTCGTCGCGCGGAGAATATCAAGTCGATATTCAATTTCACGCCAGGTACCGGCAAGCATGTCGGCATCCACAGAGACTATTGCGGTTGTAATTCTGGCTTTTAGGTCATCAACGTTCGACACTCTTCTCCTGTAAACGTTGTCCTTTACACAACTCCAAAGGAAAAAGTCCATGACATTGCAATAGTTGCCAAAAACAAAAGAGAGAAAGATGCAATTAATAAGCAGACGATATTTAGAAAAGTACAGATATTTAGACTGGAAAATGAAATTATCTGAAATTAACCACACGCGCAGACGATATTTACAAAAGTAAAGATATTTAAACCTTAAAAGGAAAATATATAAGTTATTCCATCAATAAATACCATAAGTTTGATTATATCTTCATTATTTTATGAATTATTCAACATCAAAATGGGTCCGGGACTTTATAAACACCCTGTAGAAATACAAACTTGAACGTTTAAAAGTCATTCACTAAGAAGTCATTTTTAAAAGCCATGCACTTCATTGCAGAGAATTAACCTAATTTATTTTTCGTGCATCATTTTTTTATAAAAATAATATAAATTTGAGAAAACGTTAAATAAAGTATAAAGAGTTTATAATGCTTCAAAAGTATAACATTACTTTCCTCTTTAAAATTCGAATTTGAGTTAATAAATTCGTTGATTAAAATTGTCAAAGCTAATTTCTACTTTATTTCTGTCAATAGCATAAATTTTCTCGTTTATTAAAAGCAATTAAGAATGTTCTAGAGTCTTACTATAAATTCTTTTTCAACTCCTATCTCTAAGTCAAAAATTCCTGCAACCTTCTGAAAGGAACTTGAATCTGAAAAGGAAAGTAAAAACTCTCTCAAGCAAAGTAGTCTCAAAGAAATAAACGTCACACTTTAGTACAGAATAACATAATATTTTCTGAGACCCCACAGGGGGCTACAGCCCCCCTCATATCATACCGTTGCTGTTTCGTCGTAATATGCCGAGACCTGTCGCCATGGCGGCGCGGGCAAAGCTTGTGCGGTCTTCTGAATAGGAATGGATGGTATCTCGGCGAGCCTCTGCGATAGCTTACGATTAATCATCCTCTGTTTCTGTCGTTTGACGAATGACTACGCCAGATAGGTCAAGGTGGGTTTGCTCTTTAAACGATCTATGAATATTTATTCGGATTTGCTCGGAATGTGTCAGCACTGTACTTGCCTTTGATTACATTCACTTCAGACTCAACCTCTGAAAAATTGGTGCAGAAAGTGTTGGATAAAAGAAAAATTCTAATAGGAGCGTGGGAAAAGGAAATCTGAGCTTTCGCATTGTAAAATCTGGTATACATTACACATCGCGGGCCTGAGATGAACGATAATAAGAAAGTCTTCAAAAAAATTTAAAAAACAAAAAGGAGACGAAATATTTTTTGAAATATTTAGCGTAGAAAACAAGAAAAGAAAAAGAACGGTAACATTTAATAAAGACCCACTTAATGAAAGATATTGCTTTATATCCTTTAAAATTGTTTGCTTTACCTGTTGCTTTATATCCTTTAAAAATATTTAAAGCATCTAAATTTATTATTAAATTGGAATAACAACAAGGCATTTCCTCTCTAATATATATTCGAATATATATTATAGAGATTCGAATATCTAAAAATATTATTCGAATTTAATAATAAATTTAGATGCTTTACGTTTATTCTACTTCAATCCTGCAGCTATAGCGCAAGACGGGTTTAACTTTTTTTAATTCTAAACTTTAGTCTATTTTTACATTTCTTTTTATACTTAAAAAAAAATCATTTGAAATTTGATACTTTTCTTAGTGCTTGGAAATTTTAAGTCGTATTCGTGTTCGCATGTATTGCAAATTAATTATTAACATACTGTAAGCTTGTTATTATTTTTATGAACTCCCTTACATTAGTTGAAAATGAAAACAAAAAGTTGAAAACTAAATTTTCAGAGGCGTTAGATACATCTTTCATAAATTTAAGAAATGCTACTAACATTTATAAAAATGAATTGGGTTTTAAATTGAATGCATTTTTAATTATATCAGTTAGAAATGTTATTTAAAAATGGAATTTAAATTAATGAGAAGCGCGTTTGTTAATTTTAAATCGCTGTGTTTGTTAAACAATTTTAATTGAAAAATTAACTACAGATCTTAATGGATATGAAATGCAGATCTTGGAAAATTGGCTGTTTACCACACCACGTGGAATATAAATTAAATTTCTTAAGACTGGTGTTACGGCTACAGTTATTAAGCGAAATGGACAATAAATGGCACTGTAATGCAATGGCCCAAAAATCTTAGATTTTTGCCAAAGATGTTTTCAACGTTAAAACAAGTAATTTTTCATTTGTTTTGAAATTGAAAATTTATAATTAAAACTAAAATTAAGAAGAAATTAAGAAATTTTAATATTCCTTAAAATAATTAAGGAAGCTTATAATAAAGGAAACATATAATTAAGAAATCAGTTCTTACCAGCGGGTGCGGTGAAAGTAACTGAACATTGCGCAAGTTGATAAACTACAGTGACTCCGTTTTCTGAACATTTAGTTTCAGAAATATTAAAACTTAAAGGCAAAAAGGCTTTGAACAACAAAGGAATATGTTTGTGCTTGTTTGTGGCTCATCTCACCCGATCGACAGTACCATCAGGTCAGGTCCATGAATCTGTGGACTTAGCCCTAAGAACAACTCCAGAACAGATGAGCAATTGACTCCTCTGGCAACCAAATTCTGTGCGACGGACGTGGCGGTATCTTCAGAATTTCCAAATCAACGAGTCATGAAGATGGGTATAATGTACAGCTTCATGTGACACCAAAAGTTTGAAGTCTGACTTAGCCTCTGCCTGCAGTGCTTTTAGCTGGGCATAATGGAATGGCCTTCACGCCTTGGGTGGCCCTATCAGGAGTATACATTCCCAAAGTACTTCTCTCATTTCTCCCAGGAACACTCCGTCCAGAAACAATGGAATATAACAGAAACAAATAAATGTGATTCATTATTTTTTTCGCTATTTTTATAATTTCGCAGATAGGTAGTAAAATTATAATGCACCAGAAACATTTTCAAAATGTATTATGATCACTGTCTTCATTGCATAGATTTTTTGGGAAACATTTCGACTTAACATACATACTTTATAAGAAATACCTACTTATTTATTCAATTTTAGCGTATTTCTCATTTAACAGTATTGAAAGAAGAAAAGAATATTTTTGAAATATGTCCCTATTTATTTTGACTCAAGCATTATTTCTTGAGTACCTTTGATGTAAAAGAGTGAATATATAATAACCTTGCATTGATCTAACAGCTGTTGGTCTTTCTCTTAATTTGTATTACATATCATGCAAGTGCCTGAATGAAATCCTGTTTCACACTGCTAGAGAATTTAAGTAATATTATACCAGTAAGAAAAACTCTTTATTGCGTTTTCAATCAAAACTAACCGTATTCAATGCTTTATTATTAGTTTGAGTCGCTATTCATAATAAACCCATACAAACACTGCAATCAAGATATCCCACATGGACATTTTTCTACTTTTCGGTCATTTTCAGACCATTTCATTTCTAGTGAAATTTAATTCTTTGTCAAACAGTAAAAAATATTGCTAATTTTCTCTTTCAAATACATTTTTGTATTTTAAATATGCTCATTACAACTTGACAAAATTGCAAGCAAGTTAGAAAGTTAAGTGAATATTTCCTGAACAGACGCGTAGCTTTTTTTAAGCGCCTGGGGACAGCTGAAGATCTTGCGCCCCTTTCTATGTGCCAATAACGAAAAAAGTTTCATTCTAAAATTTCGTAACATCAGTTTGGCGCCCCTGGATGCTGCGCCCGGGGACAGATGCCCCTCCTTGCCCCACCCTTGCTACGCCACTGTTCCTGAAAATTCTGTAAGTTTAATTTTGGAAAGTTTACATGAACACCCTCATTTTTAATCCTTTAATGTTTCTTTTCCTATATCATGGCTAAATTTTCGAGCTTAAGATCTTAAAATTTTCAGTTTCCAAGGATTTTATTTGCGATTGACTGCAATATTATTATGTTTTCAAAAAAGATTATTTTTATGAAACTCTTTATCGATAACTTTTGCATACTTAGAATAAGTTATGTCTTTTTATATTGCTATCACTGCTAATCATCAAGTTTTCCGTTATTTTTTTTTTTTTTTTTGACTCCTTATCTTTTTTAACATTGTCTACTAAGGCACAGGGAACAAATTTTATTAAACTAATACACTGGTTGATTTAATAACTTTTTGCATGTTTAGAAGCTTCACCTTGAATGTAATTTATATAGTGTACTACTGCGATACATTAAATTTTTCTGAGACTGATGTTATCGTGTGAGGGCTACGGAGACTTTAAGCCCACTTCATATGGACTTTAAATCTTTTGAGTTAACACGATCACTTACTTACAGTGTCAAAGAAATTAAGAAATATTTTGGGCTAACTTCATAAGAATTATATCTAAGGAAGTACAGTATCTTCATAAAAAATTCAACTTTATATTAATTTAAATTACCAGGGGAATAAGAATCATTATTTTGTAAGTTTTTTTCTCTTTGACTAAAAAAGGACTTCTTGATCACATCCGAAACGAACTATTAACCATACATTACCAGTGTTCTTGACTGATGGACTAGGTTATATTTTAACTTATTTTATTATATACCTAGGGAATATATATAAAAAAGTCATGTTTACTCCTCTATCTGCGTAATTTGAAGTCGACTTTTTCTAACACACAAAAATCTTTACAGTAGAATCGCCACAAGACGAAGAAGTGAAGAAGCTGCCCATCCGACGTTAACTTCACCCCCTTAACTGAGAGACATAGACTTAACCCTAAAGAAATTCTCTCTGATATAACTTTTTAGAGACTAGCAGGAGAGATCTACATCAGGATACATATTTTAAACAGGAAAGAGAACATCATCATGGATAAGAAAGAAACAAAACTGTGTTGCCTTATCTTCGACAGAAGCCGAGTGCATCGCTCTAACTGTAACTTTGCATGAGCTACAATGGATGAGATAACTAATGGAAGACTTAGGTGTCCTTCAACAGAAAGGTAACATTTTATTCGAAGACAACATATCCTGCATAAATCTATCTAGGAAAGAAAAAGGGAGCAGTTGCACTAAACACATCGATGTAAAAAATCGTTGTGCCATTGTTGCTGATATAATGAGAGTTTCCTATCGAAATTTTTATGTGGGTACCATATCGCTCAAAATAGTTCATTTTTCTCAAAATAATGATGTATTTGTTTTTATTTTTGTTGACCCAAATGGCAATTCCATATGTCATATGGGTATATATAACAAATGGTTCTATGATTACGAGGTACATGTATTGAATATTACTTTGTTTCTTTGGCATTTTTTATGCATTACAATGACGCATCATATTCCTTATGACGTGTAATATGCTATTATACGAATTTTCAAATGATGCCATGAGTAATACATTACTCTCAATCTAACTCAACTGGCATCGGGTACTTTCGGTAGTTTAATCTTAAGTAAGGGGCTAGCATAAAAATATTCAGCTGCAAAGCTACTCAAACACGCGGCATAAACTCGGAATTAACTCTCGTACTGCGAACTCTTAAATTCTGCTACTTAAGTACTATTTCCGAACTCATTTAGATCTGCATATACGTCACTTAAATTTGCCTTCTGGTAGGAATTTGAAATTAGGAGGGAAAGGAAAGTTTCTTAAAATACAAATAATTGGTTAGAACAAAATAAAGTCTTTACAGCTTTAGCTTTCGTGTTACTGCTGGCTTTAATTTTATTA